ACCCAGCGCCTGGCCCTGTCCAGGTCTCTCGATGAAGAGGGTCGGTGCCGACTGTCGCGGTGACGGGTGGTCACCCGGGCTGTCCTTTGGGCTCTCTCGATGTCTCGAGCTCCCGCGAGGTGTGTGGGCGGCAGTTTGTACGGACCGTGCTGGGCTGTTTTCTCTAGTTCTGGGCAAACCTGTGGCTTCCTGGTCGTCCTGTCTCCCGTGTGCCCCCTTTCTCGGGTACACGCCGTCGGCACTTGCTGGGTTGCTTTCTTTGGTCTGTTCTGTTGCGCTTCAATGTTCAACTTCTCTTAATTCTTTCAAAGACTTCCCGGAGAACCAGTCACGTGCCCGCCTTGGCCGAGCTCTCGCGCCAGGCGGCCCTGCCCCCAGGGCGCCGGCCGGCGGAGGTGCCCTCCTCCTGGCACTGCCGTTTCTCGGCCGTGACGTCACATCGGCCGCCGCGGGCTTCCTGGTCAGCTGGCCACACCTGGAAGTGTTGGCCTAGCTGGGCTTCAGAGCAGAGCTCACGCTCGCTCACCTTAGAAAACCTTCGTAAAACTCGCTGGACGCCTGCACGCGGTCACAGGGTCTCCGCGCGCGCCGAAGCCCGCCGCCCTGCACGGTGCCTCTGTCCTCCTGGCCTCAGAAGCGGGCCCCGCTCACCTAGTCCGCAGTCAGACTTGCCGCAGCCGCAAACCACCCGGTGACGTGACCGAGGCGGCTTTGAGAAGTGGCTGCTCGCGAGTGCCGTGGCCCAGGGGGATGGGGCAGGGGAGGCGGAGGCGGCTCTGGCCGCGCGCTGTGAGAGAGGTGGCCGGAGGGGGCCTGTGGCTGCACGCTGCCTCCTCGGGCGTCGCCAGTACAGCCCCGAGCAGATTCTTCGAAGCCTCTCGGCAAGCCTCCGGGGCCGGCGCCCGGCCAGGAGTGGCTGAAGCCCCGTGAGCCCCCGGGAGTGCTCGCCGAGTGCTCGTCTCTGCTGCTCCCATCTGGGCTCGTCTCCTGGGAGGCAGCTCTGGAGGCGGGCGGGCTCGCCCGGGGAGCCGGCCGCAGGCCCACCCAGAGGGTCCCCGGAGCCCCTGTGCATCTGGGGTGCCAGGCTTCTGGAGAAAAGCCCGCGGGCATCTTTCCCGCAGAACGTTCTCCTGGTCCGTGTGCAGCGAGAAGGGGCCACTTCGCTGGTGCCCCTGGCCAGGCCTGCCGAGTTCGAGGACCAGGCAGATGACCCGGGTGTGGCACCCGCTCTGGGCCTTCATTCTTGCCATGTGGGGGTGCCCTTGTGTTGAGAGCCCCCACTCCCATCCCTGCCCCACTGACCGTACCTCCTGGTCGCCCCGGAGCAGCGCCAGGCAGAGAGGGCTTGGGTCCTTTCTCGGAACAGGCCGATTTCCTCCACACGTGGGAGAACCACTCCCTGAAACGGAAATGCGCTGGCAGAGCCGTCCTCAGGTTAACTTGGCGCTCAGTTCCTCCTTTCTTCTTGTCCACACAGATGATGCTGGAGGGTCTTGAACTCTTTAAACACAATAAAACCTGCAGCTTTGAAAACCAGCCTCTGTGACCACAGTGCCATACCCGAACCACGAGGAGTGTTCCGAGCATGCCACGCGGGTCTCAGTCCCACACATCACACACACCCCGAGTGCCGTGTGGGGCAGCCCTGGAGGCCGGGCGACGGCCCGCCGTGTGACGCCCAGGAGGTGAGCACGCAGACTCAGGCATACTTGGCACAGACCGATGGGCAACTACCTCAGGGCCTGCATCGCTGGAAGGCACGAGCGTGCCTGCTTCCGACTCCCGCTGAGGAGCCCTCTGTCAAGGTGGCTTCTTAAATAAGGTGGGGAGCGAAGACCTTGCAAGCAACAGTAGTTGCCAAAGAAGGAGACGCCAAACACATTTATAGTTTTTATGTCTAAACATCTGTTACTGTAGAAAAAGTTTTAAGTATGTTTGTTGCATTGTTCAGCAGTGAAGTACAGGTGCGCACCTCAGGCTGACCTGGCATTAGGGCGCCACACGCCTTTGGGGTTCAGTGACTTGGGTGACTGGTTCCAAATGCTGTTGCTGAACAGCCTGAGGCCAGTGCAGCTCTGCGCGGCGCGGCTCTGCCAGCTGTCAGGGAATCCGTGCCAAGTTGTTCGAATGTGAACCCCGGGCTTTGACCTGCGTTCTGCGGTGTGAATCCCCCCCTTTTCCTCGTCTCAGCCCACCCGCAGCCCTGTCAAGGGGTGGCGGGCTCCGGGCGCAGGCTCGCCCGTAGGGGTCTCCAGGCCGGTGCCTGGGTGTGGGCTGTGGTGACTGGCACAGGCCCCGCCCAGGTTCAGGGGCTGCCTGTGCTAAGACACCGCCCAGTGGTGGCACTGGGGCCTGGTCGTCCCGAGGTGCAGTGTGCAGGGCCTGACAGGTGAGCGGGGACGGAACCTTATGTTACCTGGTCACAAATAAACTTAATTTAACTCCACGTGCTCAACTGTTCTTTCGTCACGGGGCGCGTGGTGACCCCCACTTAGCTACAGCGGCCCTCAGCTGTGCAGCCCACGCGGCGCCTTTGCGTGTGCTTGCACCTTTCGCGAGGCCAGCGGCTTTTAAGGAAGGCGCCAAGAGCAACCAGGGACGGAGACCGGAGCCTGCGGGCGGGCGAGCCGCGGTGCAGCAGCGACGGGCACAGCACGGGCACAGCTAGCCGGAGGCCAGGCCGAGC